CCCCCCCCCCCCCCCCCCCCCTCCCCATTGGCAACCCTGGCCCGTGGGGGCAGCTTATGAGGTCATACTGCTTGCGGATTCCACCCAGACTCGTTTGTTTATCTTTATTCATTAATAGTGTACAGTTTTGGGGAGGAGATGTTCCACGGATCATGTTCCATCTGCTGTGGCCATCGTGATCGTCTGCCTGGCGACCGCTGGTTCGATGGGCCAACTGGCCTGTCTCTGATAGTCATGCCAGTCTCCAGTACTCATCGAAAATGGCATTTAAGCTCATATGGGAAAAAGAGAAATAATATGGGCGGTATAAGCCGTCTGATGTCGGAATCGTTGGCAGATTCCGGGTTCCACTTTAAAAATAAGTGCTAGGCAGAAGGTGAGAGGTCAGGACCCTCCCCAGCTGGCATGCCGCTCTGATCTGCATCCGAAATGTATTCGGGGGGGTGGGGGGGCATCTGCAGACTTGGTGCTGTGAGGGCCTCGGGTAGTTGCTGTGTCACCGGCCATCCTGTGCCACCATCTCCAGACTGATATTAGTCTGCAGTTCTTCAATTAAGGTCCCTCCACAAACTCAACTCAACATCCCTTTATAAGCAGGTTTCAGAGGTGAAGGCCACTTAGGGGAAGGGGGGGGCGGGGGGGGCACCCCCTGGAGGAACGGAAGTATGAGCACCCCCCCCCACCACCCCCCATTAGGGCTTCAAAACGGCCCCTAGGACAGGAGGCCCAGGGGGGGCATTTCACCACCGAATGCCACGGCGCAGCGTCAACCACGGTTTGTGTCACGTGGAACCTGGCGTGGCCGTGGAACCTGGCGTGGCCGTGTAAGTGACAGGCCCCGGAGCATGAAAGGAGCAATACAAAGAAAAAAATGGAGAAACAGATGTAGGAGCTGGTGAGATTCTAAAAACTGCTCTGGAAGTTGAACCAAACTGAATCCCAGGGACCTGTAACTCATGTGTGACGGCTGATCTGTAAATATTACTGACAAATAAAACAGTGGCGACTACAGTGTCTAGTCTGGCTTGTCGATTTATTTCAACAGCTGAGTAAACATGGAGTAAGGTTCCTCTTTACCTGCTTGATCTAGTGGGGCGGGCGGGTGTGTGGCAAATGTCAGCTGATTATTATTAATTTGCGTTGCACAACTGTCTCAAGAGGCATATGGGAGTCTAAGCCCCCCAGCGATTAGGAATCTCTCATTTTCGTAGCTGTGTAATGCCATACTTGACATTTTTGATTGTTCCTTTCAGATGAATTTGTTTTCACAAATTAAAATGGAAGTGTGATATATAGTTGATGTTAAGGGAAGCTAATATAAAGTTTTATGATTTATGTATTTATTTATGATTTTTGTTTTCATTGTTGTTGATGTTGTTTCCGGTCCATATATAACAATCAATCAATGTGTGAAGTGACAATAGTGTGTGTCTGTGGGTGACCCCCCTCCCCCCCCCCATGTCCCCCCTCCTGGTCACTGTAGCACCTAATGAGGAATCTTACCCCGTTCCCAAATTATGTACCAAAAAGCTGAGACACTGAGCTCATTAAAACGGGTCAGTGTGGATTAAGGAGTGCTGCGGCATCGCACACAGAGCAAGATATCCAAACGCAGCCGGGGGGGGGCTCGGTGACCGGGGTTCCTGCAGCCTCTGTATCCCCTCTCACCTTCTGAATTCCTGCACTGAGCGCAGCAGACCTCCCTAACACCCCCCCAACACCCTTCTCTGTCAACATATACCTCACCTTCTGCCTTAGTTTGGGTTTGTTAAGATGATTGTAAATTAGTAGGAAACAGCAGACGTATCCGAGCACGAGAATTCTGATGTGAAAAAATGGTTTTCCTTTTATTTTTGTACGTATGTGCTATGCACAGCAGTCTACTGTAAAACAACAATAAAGGTTTGTTTTCTATGGGTTGTTCACACGTGTATGTTTGTTTTGGATTGATATACGCAGAACGTTACGTTCGCTCTCTCAGTAAGTAAACTTTATTTATATAGCATTTTAAAAACAGTGAAATCACTCTATTGACCATGTGATTTGAACTGGCGCCTTTCCAGTTACAGGCCTAGAGTCTTAACCCACAGAGTCACACACTGCATATAAGCTTTGATGGGATCCCTTGCACTTGTGGGCTGTGGGACAGATCTGCACACCAGAATACCTTTTTCTCCCCCCCCTCAAACACAAATAATCAGTCATGTTGGACTAACCGGGAAATGCTGTCACACAACCATTGGAGAAAATACAGTGAGATCACTAACTACCCAAATCACCTGCATTATGTATGTAAACAACGAGGAGTCTGAATGTAAAGTTATTAAAACAAGTAATAATCTCATGTAAATCCCAATCATGTAAGTCCATAAGGCATTAAGATCAATGGACCCTCATAATAATCAAAATTCACAATATACTCATAATAAAGTCACTTCAGAATGCTTTCTGTGCGATTCTATGCGGATTGAGTTGAGAAAGTCAAAATAAAATATAATTTAAAAATAAACAAGATATGCATGCCTTTGCCTTCTATGAATATGCCAGTTATGTTCCTGTCCGTGTTGGCCACATGGTCAGCTGATATCATAATTGAAGCTATGGCTCCCTCTACCGGTGAAGCATAAGTGATGTAAATCTTCACTATTCACCGTCGCGCGTATATCGGTGCTCGTCTGTTAGACTGAGGAGATACTTGGCTCCAGGGGGTTTCTAACTATTGAAAAGATCGGGGACTAAGTGAAATTTATCTGGGGCTTGACTTTTTTTCTTAATGGAAGATTGGCATCGGGGCTAAAATACTTTGGGCTACAGTCCCGAGTGATCGAATCTAACGACGCCCACGGTTCGCCCCGTACACTAGTGGCCAAAACTGTGGAAACAATTCCAATTTTAAGAGATTGCCTTCATTCAAATTAATCGTCCAATGTATTGTTTTACAAATATCAAACGCTGGACGACTACATAAGTTACTGGAGCAACAGTTGAATAAAGTTCCGCAATCTCTAAAAGTTGGAAGTTTTTCCACAATTTTGGCCACAGATGTGGAAAATAATACATTAAAAATTGGCAGTTCTTGCGGTAGTAGTCACTATAAAACAACATCAATAATTTATATAAATAAAGAATGATATATTTGTTTAGTACAAATTATTGTATAGCCTATTTGCGGTAATCTCCTAAACACCCGCACCGTAATTTATACACAAGGTATTGCGCAATTAGATATATTAGCCTACATATAGAAGGTATATTGCAGTTTATAGTTTTTAGAATCTTTCCAAATTTGAACACATTTCCTATTTTTTTTCAGTCCCGTGATTAAGTATATGATGGGCTTATAAAACTCGAAAGAACAATAAAGATGTCATTAATGTAAAAATTATTATAAAACGCCTCGCGCAAAGAAAGTATCCACGTGATATACCTTTTATTTGCAAAATATATAAAGGAAAAAAAAAACTTTTCCATCCACGTTTCAAACTTTTTCTAAACATGGAGTGAATTCTTCTATCATGTTACTATATGCTTTATTATAGGAAATGCCGCAATGGAGTTGGCCAACAGCGCCCTTAAGTATAGCTCCTGTATGTTTGCATAATATCCTCGGTTTGTCGGGGCGGATTGAGGAGAATGGGGGCACGGAAATTGCTTGCTGAAAAACCACTGTGCCAAATTACATCCAAAGGTAAACAGGCAGCGCCGGAACCCCGATGCACCGATCCTTCCTTGCTTATTTCCTTAATTCTCCACATCTCCACATCTGCTTTGGGGGCGAGGGCGCTGTCAAAGATGTGAGCAAGGAGTGGCACCCGGCGGCTTTAAATAGCCGCACGCAAGCCCTTGGGACATCAGAACAATCGCCTGCTGCGACGTGGACGGGCTTGGATCAGCCTTTGGAGAAGTCGAGATTTAACAGCCTCAGTTGTCCGTCCAGCCTTGCCATGCATCCGTCTTTGATCACGCTGTGCCTGGCTGCATTAACAAGCTTCACGCTGGTCCTCTCCATGCCCAATCCTTCTCCGCTGCTAGGGTCCAACTGGGGAAGCCCAAAAAGATATGTACACCTGCAGACATCCTCGGACATCAACAACTTCTACCTGGAGATCAGTCTGAGCGGCAAAGTTAGGAAAACCACGAGACGGACTTCTTACAGTAAGTAATTTCATGTCTATATGTATATGTATATTATTATTATTTTGCGTTAACTGCATTAAATATTCCGGATGTTTTTAACCCGTGTACTTGCTGCGCCCCCGAACAGGTGTCATTTTACTGAAGTCAGAAGCAAGAGACCGCATAGCGATATTCGGCGTGAAGAGCAACCGGTACTTGTGCATGGATGTAGACGGAAATCCTTTCACTTCTGTAAGTGTCGACGGAAATGCTTCCTCTTCGCATAAAAGCTTTGGTGAGCAGATTAGGTTATTTTACACGTAGGGAAAGCTGGATTTAATGGCTGAATGTGTCCTTGTTTCAGACTGTCTGTAACAGAGACGAATGCCTCTTCCACCACAAGCTTTTGGAGAACCACAGGGATGTCTACTACTCCTGTCGGAACAGCATGCTCCTCAACCTGGAGGGGGCCAGGCAGCCATTTGTGGAAGGTCACAACCTGCCCGCCTCCTCGCTGTTCCTGTCAGAGAGGAACACGGTGCCTCTAGAGAGACTCCTGCGCAGGGAGAGGAGGAACCGCCAGGTGGACCTGTCTGACCCACTCCGTATGCACCCCCAGCCCTGGGAGGGCTCTGACTCCATGCAGTACCCAGACCTGGACCTGGACCTAGACCAGGACCAGGACCAGGACGTCGAGCTACCTGAGCTGGGCCGAGCGGTTTCCAGGGAGACGGTCATTTCCAGTTTCTACGACGACCCGCTGCAGGTGCATTCCAAGCACCTGAACAGCCCGCGGAATATGGGCTGAGGAAGTTGGGGGCTGGGGTGGGGGGGCTGCGTTTTCTCCAGCTGGTCTGAAAAACCCTCTCATTAATGTTTTTTAAAGGCCATAATAGTAGGAGATTCTCTGCAGAACAGTTCCTCTAATTTACATTGGGTTTCTTCATTTCTGTCGTGGCTAATCATAAGTCACGTTTGAATAGTCTTCTTAGCCTGGGCTGATATGGCTGTATTCTTGTAGCTGGGATGACAGCTTTTTGTCAGATGGATTACTTTGCTTGGCTGTATAAGGGTCTATAAACTGTGTTCCAGCCCAAACATACCAGTAGTTCACTTCTTCCATGCTCAGAATATGTAACATTTCAAGCTGATAAGCAGGTTTCCTGGTAATGCCATGCTGTCTCTATAAAAAAAGACAACCGCCTTTAGAGAGTATCCCCTTAACCTGATTCTTCGGGGACGAGGAGCGATCTGTGAGGTGAACTGTTCCACATATGACATGCAAAAACAATCTTTGAAACAAGGCAGTGTTAGACGTTCACGAGAACAGCTGTGTTGCAGGTGCTGGCCACCACCAGTAAGGACCCAGATAGTATCAGAAATATTTATTTATTTAAATGTATTCAGTTATTTATAATATTTATGCTGATTCCTAATATTGTCAGATAGAATGGAAAATATTTTATATGTATTGTTTTTTTTGGATTATGAACGTTTTCACTAATAAATTATATGGTTATGAATTTTCTGGCTCAGTGGATTCTTCACAATGGTAGAAATGAACTGAAATTACCAGCAGGTTGTGGGTCTCCAGCCTCGTCCGATGAATGGTTTTATCTATCATCTGCTGCTGGAAGCTGTCACCCTTCAGCTGATTATTTTACGTTGAGTCTAACGTCATGTTTGGCCTTCCCGTGTCATAAAAAGACACTTTAGGAACATTTTCATAATATCGTGCTTCCTTATGCTCTCAGACCACCTTGATTTTTTAGCAGGGTGTGTTTCTCAGAGGTGCTTAGCGATGCTCGAATGCTCCCCCCCCCCAGCCATATTGAGTTGGCTGGACAGATCATTCTAGAGCTTCAAACCAGACACCCATCAGCCTTTTATACCTCACGTACACGAATCATTCCTCCATTGTCGCAAACCTTAAACATCCTCCTTTCATATGTCTGCCCGTTCATCTAAACTCACTGGATTTCAAAGGTGAAATCAATTAAGGATCATGACTTTCACCAGAATTCACCTGGTCAGTTTGTTTCGAGGACAGAGCAGCTATTTCTAAAGGCATGTGCGTCCAGTGAGGTTGTGGCATGATGCGGTATGGGGGGTGTGCGGCTCAGCCGGTTGGGATTGGTGCTTGTGATCAGAAAGTCATCAGCTTAAACACTGAGGCCGGCAGATGGATGCTGCCGTTAGGCCCCGGAGAAAGACTCTTAAAACCTGGAATACTCTTGACTCTGTGGTGGGCAGGATTCCGCTAACATTTTCATTAGCGTTTCTGCTAACATTGAAAACTGTTAGCGGACCAATTAGCTTTCGCTAAGCTTAGTGCCGCTAACTGTAAATCCGCTAACATTTTGTCACAGGTATAATGAATAAAGTCAAAAATGCTTGTAGACCCTAAAATCTTACAACATATTTCTTCCTATCTGTTGTGAGCGTGTCTGCAAGAGTCTGCCTGGCACACTGTTGGCTGACTATGTGTAAACAAAAGACATGATTGGACGATATCTTGTTGGATTTAACATCTACATTTTACATATATGGCTTTTGGCAGACACCCTTAACCAGAGAGACTTACATAAGTGCTTAGACATCTCATTAGTGAATACATTCCGATACTGGTTCAATGGGACCCAGGTAAGAATACTATCACTCTAAAACAACTCTGTTGGCAAGTAATACAACTTTTTTTATTATAAGAGTATAATCCTGGAAATGCTAATCCAAGTATTTCCGAAAGAGGTAGGCTTTGAGTTGTCGTTTGAAGACACCTAATGAATCAGCTGCTCAAACATTTATGGGAATTGTTCATTGCACCACATAGGTGCCAAAACAGAGAAGTGTCTAGATGCTTGTCTTCCTTGCGCCTCGAGAGATGGTGGGACCAGCCGAGCGGTGCTGGAAGATTGGAGAGAGCATGGTGCAGTGTGGGGTGAGATAAGTTCTTTTAGGTAGGAGGGTGCTGGTCCAGTTTTGGCTTTGTAGGCGAGCATCAGTGTTTTGAATCTGATGCGGGCAGCTACAGGAAGCCAGAGTGGGAGCGTAACAATGGTGTGGCGCGGGAGAACTGGGGAAGGTTGTAAAGGAGTCAGGCAGCTGCAAGCTGGACGAATGGTGCTCAAAGGCAGACCTGCTAGGAGTGAGTTACAGTGGTCTAGTCTCCAGACGTCAAGAGATTGAACAAGTTCCTGAGTGGCCTGAGTGGAAAGAAATGGACGAACCCTTCTGATGTTGAAGAGAAGAAATCGACATGAGCGGGAAAGATTAGCAATGTGAGAGGAAAAGCAAGAAATCCTGGTTTGTGATACAGGACCCAGGGTGTATTTCCCGGGTTCTGATTGACAGGGCTATAGACCAATAAAGAGCTGAGAACCTCCTTCCTAGTTCCGGGTAAACGGCACCATGTTAGTTGTCCCCAACTAACTGAGGGCAAAATGTCAACATGGGTTAGTTGCGAAATAGGGCTACTTTGAAGAAAGAAAAGGCGTACGTCTCGCAAACAGAACATCACAGAAGGAAAATTTCAAAGCAAGTTTATTCCAGAGACTCTACAGAATCCAGCACTATCCAATTGGGTTAGTTCTAAATATTGCCTGGTAATCACTCAAGTCCGACTTCAGTGTTAAACAGGTTAAAATCTTAGCTCTTTATGTATGTTTTTAAGGGTTTCTGAACCAAAAGAGAAGCTAAATACACATAATAAAAGTTAACGGTTATAGGTTCTGTTCATTTTCTTTTGTGGTTTATCAGTTTAGAGTTATCAAATTAAACTTTGGAGTTAACGCCTTAGCGGTTATTGAATAAAACTTTATGGTTAGCTGTGCCCACCACAGACTGTGACCTCTAGACTTGCTCTTGCCTGCAAACAGTACCATGCAGAAGACTTAAACAAAGAAAATGTTGTTTAAATGATCTCCGTGTTGGTGTAAAACTATGATATTACATCTGTCAAAGTTTGTTTACTTAGACATCTCAAAACTTCACCCGAAATCATTCCAGCAAAAACCCTGTATACCCATGCCCTCTTTTGACTCAACCACTAATTAACTAATTAATTTACTGAGCCGAAATGAAATTTAATCAATCCATTAATGCTGTAATGTTAAATTATATTTTATTTCTGAGAAAACACACTTACTACCCAGATAAATGGCTTTGAACATTTTCTTTGCCTGCCTAAGACTTTCGTACAGTACAGTATTTGTCTGTGTCTCATGGAGAGCAAGTTAATGTTGACGTAGGCACGAGAGAGCAAAGTTTAGATTTACAGCTGACAATCCTACTGTTCTGCTTTAAAAGATGCAACTTTGTTGCATTACTCAGGTTTTCCATCAATTGATTCTGGAAACTCTGATGCGCATCAAGCTTTATCAAGTCAAGGTGTGCGAGAAGCATGCGGGACCTATTTTTGGAGGTGTCACGCTCCCTATGCCCCAGAGTTCTTGTCTTTCCGTTGGAATATTCATGACGGTAGATGCCGGAAGGTCCTGCCTGTGGTCTGTAGGCGGAACCTTTAGCCAGAACTGAGACGTCTGTTCTGGGCGGCGTGTGTCAGACCTCTACTAAACCAAGCAGGTACGTCGGTACAAGGTAATTGCGTTTATGTGTTTCTCTAATGACAGGAAGGATCTGGCTGCAAACGTGGCTCAGATCAGTGAGCAGGCTTTGCCGGGCCTCCAGCCCATGTGACCCTCTGACGGTAAATACTGACATTACCATAAGTTCTGTGGAGTACCTGTGATCTGTACAGTCAATCAAGATACTATCAGCCCAATTCAACAAGATCATTGGTGCCCTGTGTTGGATTTTGGAAGGAGAAACATGGCATGGGATTAGACGTGAGATCCTCTACCAACGCTGCTTGAGCAGAGATGCTTCCAGAAGCAGGCAACTTCATAAAACTCAGGAGTCGATCCAGGACTCACAGTCTGTGGTGCTCTGCTCTGTTTTTACGGTGCATCTGAAATCGAGTACTTGTTTGCTGTGTAGTAAGTGAAATATAGTATGTGAACCAAGCAGTAAGTCCAAATCCTCAGTATGGATGAGACACCAGGCAATCAGTACCCGGATGACATACTGCATTCTGCACAATTCTGAGGTGTGAAACCGATGGACACTACGGTATCCCACGAGGCAGCTGGACCCACAACCAGAGACAAAAATCGATGTCAAGACAGTGGAGGATGTGTCATCTCTGTACAAATTTAAATAGAAAACAATGCCCCACTCCAAAAGTTGACTCAAATATGTATTTTTTGTTGATAGTTTTTAACGGTTTTTAAATTTTCGGGGGTGACTGCAGTGCATGCATACTGCATATTGTTATCATGTATCCATACAGTACTTACTAAAGTAACAGTAGTAGTAGGCTTTTAAAGCAATTCAGTATGTATTGTGCAAGTATGCAATTTGGGGTGCACTATTAGTTTAGTTGTAACTGAGTGTGACTGACTGGATAAGCATTTCAATGCACCTGTTGTACACGGCAGATCCTGAATCGTGGAAGGGCAGAGATCTAGCGGCATCTTTCCACGCAGCACTAACACTTTCTTCACTCTCTGTTTACATAGCGGTGAATATTTCTTCTACCAATGGGGTGATTACAACAGCCACCAAAATAGTAAAATAAAGGTAATGTTAAATTACGCCTTTCTCTCACGGAAATGGTTTCAAATTAAATGCAACCAGTAAATTACTTGTGTCAGTACCTGTGGGCAAGAGTAACAGCACCTCAGCCTTGAGTGGACTCAAACATTTTAATGTGCAGTGCAGACCATCACTTGATTAAGCCCAATCACGCGCCCATATAGCCTAAAAACCAGCTAATCACGCGCCCGTATATAGCCTAAAAAACAGCCAATCAGGCGCCCATACAGCCAAAAACCAGCCAAGCCAAGCTTTCAACTGGATTAACAAAAACAGAACCAACGAGGCTCTTTAAGAACACAAATGAACATTTATTACAGTAAAATGTGCAAGTATTGTCCTCCACATAAATAAGTTAATATTTTTTTCTTGTCGAAAATAAAACAAACACAGAGATGCCACACTGGCTGATTCTCATTAGCACTGCATTAAAAACGAAAACACTCAGTGCATCGACACAGCTAATGCTGCAGGCTGCATTTAAAATGCTTTTCTATCCGTTCACTCATCCATCTATCCATGCATCCATCCATCCAGTTTTTGGTGATCTAGAGCTTACGTCGGGAAGCGCTATTTGAACATCTGCAGACAGTTGAAATAACTTATAAACGTGCAAAGAGAATTATGACGTATTAATAATCACGTTTATATTGCTTTGTAGTGGGGATGGAAATTCCTTAAAATTTAACGGACGGCAACTGCACACCCCTTTAAATGGGGTTTTCGTTTGTTATTAATAATTACATGCCTGTATAAGAACAATACAGGAGTTCAAATAAATAAGATCTTCACTAGAGTGAGGTATGCACCACTTTCTCCCGGAGGATTCTGGGTAAAGCCCGGCCTGTCTTTGCTCGCCGCTGTTACACTTCCTCCTTGGCGGCCTTCAGGTGGTCCTTCCTGTTGACAAAGATGCAGCGGATGGCGGCGGAAGGCAGGTGCGGCTTGCTGGCGGGCAGTGTGACGACGAAGCGGCACATGCCGGTATTGGGACAGGCAGAGAAGACGTGGGAGAGCTTGGCGTCGCACGGCACGCCGCAGTGCAGGTCCTCCACCAGGTAGCGCACTGCCACGCGCATGTAGGCACCGTGGCTCACCACCAGGGCGTGGGGGGCCAGAACCCGGACGCCATCATCGGGGAGGCCGGCGGGGGGGCCCTGCAGCTCCGCACCCAGCTGCCCGTTGCTGCAGTGCTCTACGGCCATGCGGTGGACCAGAGTCTCCATGAAAGCTTTGATGCGTAGCTTGACCTGCGGGGAACACGTGGTGGTGAGCCTCTCCATCCCAATGGCTCGAACCCGCAACTGCCAAAACCAAACCTGGAAAGCAACCTGCCATTTACCTGATGCTATCATGACATCACACGGAGCGCCATCATTGGCCAGCGACCCGATATCTGACAAACTGTGCAGAGACGTGAAATATGTAGCTTTTTTCCTTTTCCCTCTGGTTTTCCTTTTTTCAGTATAACTTTTTGTTCTTTATTCATGAAACATTTATTACATTGTTACTTTTTTTTTATTTTTTTTTACTGTCATCGCTTTAATGTTTTTCATTAAGGCAGAGCTGAGCACTTTTCATTTCACTGCAGGTTACAGTTTGCTACTGCATGTGACACTGGCACTGGACTACATGCAGACTGTGTGGACACTGGCCCCACTGGCCCCACTGCGATATACCGTTGTTACTTATAAAATGTAAAGTAAAAAACATATATATCAAAAGGTAAAGAACAAACCTCAGCTGACAGAAGCATCCACATTTCATTACCTGTATCTTGATTTTTTAATCCTGCTTTTATATTTTACTTCTATCTGAATCTAATTTTCAGCCTATGCAGTCAATGAGCTCATTTTATTTTGCACCTTTTAATCTGATGTTACCATGTAAGTTTCACCAATGGTCTGACTTCCTTCTTCAGTGGAGCAAATGAATTTTCGAACAAAAAAAACCACGGTCACATTTCCATCAGGCGGCGTCAAGTTAATTAAAGAGGCACGTCTTGTTGAATTAGCAGAACGCAACACCGTATATCTCTCTGAAATATCACCTCGCTTCAGCATTCGGAACGAGATTAGATCTGCATTAGCGCAGAGTTTGGTTAAAGTGAACATAGTAGCTGCGGATGTGTCCCAGACTCATGATAAAGTCACGATTATCACGAGGCCTGGCTCACGGCGATGCCGCACGAGAACGTATCATCTCCGCTCAGAATCGAACTCGGCAAAATGACGGCGATGACTAGGGTGCGATGCCGTATCCCGCCGCTCCGACAGGGCAGGGATCCCTATGCCGTTATGACATATCTACAGGAAATGATGACGTTCTTGAAAGCCCCAGAGATGGTCACCACAGATATGGCCAGAGAGACCTGCTCACCAGCTACTGCGTGGACACAATGTCCGAGACCCACGAGGGCAGCACTGGAACATGTGCTTACGCACGAAGACTGCCCCGGTCAACGGAAATTTACCACATCATGGGGCGAAATCCGATCCCCGGAGGAAAGGGCAAGAGCTCAGCGACCCCAGAGTAGATCGCATCTTACCTCAATCACGCTGACAGTGCAAAAATGCCCAGTAGGCCTGAAATCGAGCAGATAATCGCAGGGTGTATTTCGCCAATTCAAGAAGGTTTACCCTGTCAATCCCACTTTTAATAATTATTTATAAAATATTATTATTCAAATTCTGCAGCTGCACATACTTAGAGATGCTGGAAAAAGTCACCATTGATTCATCAGTTACTTGGTCTCTTATCAGCCTCTAACTTAAAGGAAGACACCTTCCATCTGCTTTTACACACCATTTATGTTCATAAATCTGACCGGTTTACGGTGCATTTGAATTTTGTATCAGAACAGCACCAATTGTAGCAGCAAAGGTGTTAGCGAAACAGTAAATCATCTAAAAAACATAGGAATGACTTTTGGTCCAGCAGTGTTTTATGGCCCTCTAGTGTTTCTTTTGTGTATTACACTTAAAAATGCAGTCAGGTCACAAGGAGGAAGAGACCGTGTAGTCCACCACACACACGGCTTTTTGGGGGTCCCCCTCCCTCCTCACCTGCTCTGGGGTCTCTCCCTCAGGGGGGGTGAACTCTGGGCAGGACAGACCAGCCGCCCTGGCCATGTTCTTCAGGTCCTCCACTGGCCGTCCCTCTGCAATCCCGAAACTCTGCACAGAGGTCAAAGATCAGTCTGGCTGTGCTGCCACTGGTACAGAGCAGGAGATCAGAGAAACAACATTCCATGCTTTAAGGTTACACCCTCCCCTATTCCCCCTGCCCGGTGACTGGGCCCAGCCCCAACACAGCAGCCATCAAAAACACAGATTTTCACTCACCCGCTCCTTGAGCAGAGGGTCAGAGACGATTTCAACATCAGAGCTATGCAAGTTGTTTCTGAGGATGATGTCGGCAGTCTGAAAGACAGGAACGAGAGCGAGGCTGCTTGGGGTCTCCTGCTGGGAACCACGTCTGCGGTTAAGGGACATATTATTACATCATCACTCTCACATTATTACATCATCACCCTGATTACTGACACTGTCCTCCAAATACAGTAAATTTCTACAACCGGATGGGTAACTAGAGGAAGCTTCTGAACGGCCAAACAGCTGAACGTGTCCTGGGATTGTGCTTGTGGTCTGAAATATTTTTAATAGGTTACACTGGAAATAAGAGAGACGATCAACAGGAAGGAATGATTCAACAGAACCACTTCCAGACAGAACCACAAAGTAAATGTGCAGACTTTGAGATTATTAGTATAAACATGGTATTTTGCACAATGATGTCTCACATCCTCATAACCTGCTGAATAATCTTCCCCGTGAAAATATTTTCCAACTACTGTAACCTTTTTTTCCTGAATGATAAAACTATGTGGGAGTGAAAATCACAGCTTTTCACATAGCCAGTGTGTTTTACTGTGGATTCTGTCTGATTTGCAAAAAAGATTTTCAATGAATTTGAATCATTTGTCTGCTAAACACCCACACAGAAAATTTGGCCCTTAAATCTTTTACCATACATGGAAACATGCTGGATTAACTAACTGGAAAAATGGTGAGACAGCGACAGATTAAGATGTTTCTCAATTGCTGACGATAGCCCCTGTCTATTTTTCAATTACATTTAAATTACAACACACACACACACACACACACACACACACCGTTTCCTTGACAACCGAGGGCCTACCTGCCTGGCCCGCTGCAGATCACTGACAAACACATTGGTGAACTTCAGCTGCCTGAGGTAGCGGCCCGCAGCCTCCGCCTGCTGCATGCCCGTGTCGGACAGAGGCGCATCTACGCCCTGCCCTGCAAGTCCGCGGAGGAGACAGCGCTGTTATGTCATGCAAAGACGATTTCAAGCGTACGCGTGGTACAGGGGATCTGCAGGGCCCCCTAACTCATGATGTATTACGGTGTTTAATATGAAAGCAGGGTTGCCAACTTCGTTTGCAAACTACTCCAACGCTTTTGGTGTAGTTAATTTTATTTTTATAATGGAATAATACAGAATTGCCGTAACATTTCGTCCATGAGCGTGAGGGTTTGAAGGTGTGAGTGTCACGCCAGATGCGTGAGAGTTGGCGACCCTGTGAAAGGAAGACCGGCGTTAGACGGGGATGAGGTCAGAAACGCGCAGCACGGCAGTGGTACCTTGGAGAAGCTTGTCCTTATTGTACTGGGTTTCTCCACTAGAAGGGAACAGGGAGAGCCATGGTCAGGACACGCGGAAGATGCACACGGCGAGGTGCCGCGCTTCCTAAGCGCAGCAATGCGTGGAAACAAAGACCTTTCAGGGAGGAGGATGTTATTAAATCAGCTATACAGAGACTGCGACGGCTGATATTTACACGACGTGAAACTTCTGTCGTTCAAAAGCCGCCGTTATGTTAAATGTATTTTGCGTACAGGGAACAGGAAAGGATCTCTTGGATGAATTAAGTGTTATGTTTAAACACAAGTACTTTCTGACCTTGATGGAGGCACGGAAGCTAACGGTAATGTGACCTCCCCCGCCCCTCCCTTCATTTGCGGCGTACTAACGACGTTGCGTTTGACATGGTTTCTGTACCAGGATCCCGGAGATCAGATCAGACACGAAGTTCATTGGACAGCTACAGTAAAACGCTGGCGGCTGGACGCATGCGAGGCGGCCGAATCACCGTATTTCGGTAGCGTTATTTTTCGTCTTCGCCGCCCCTCCTCCGGTTAAAGGCTAACATGCACCGGCAGAACTTCAGGGACCCAGATGGCCCCAATCCCTCGTTACTTACTGCCGGATTATGGTCAAGCCGAAGGTGAGCATGGTAGCGGCGCCCCGGCTGCGACTTCTCTAGATCGTCGCTTTCGCTCTTGCGTCACAATTCTGTGGCGCTGCGTCACCATTTTCTGTGTACTGGGCTGTAGCAATTACGAAGTACGCAGGTAGTTCAGGTCTATGTAGATGGTTAGTTCCTACAAAAAACACATGCAGATGTTCATGAATTCTTTCACATGTGAAAACAATACTACCTGATACATGGGAACTTGCTCTGGACCCCTGTGATCCTGAATAGGACAAGCAGCTACAGAAAATGGATGGATGAAAGTTGCACTGACACAAGTGGTGAATTAAAACTGCTGTTTCCCTTAAGGTCACATGTCCAGGAACAATAAACCAGATGTATATGAGATTGTCAAAATATTACTCATCATAAGTTGTTCCGCTCTTCTTTTTTCATGGACGAAAAATAATAGCTAGATTTGAAACAAACTGTTTTGACTCACTTTTCATAGATTTTTTTGAACCCATCTTTAAAAGCAATCAAAACATCCCTTAAATTCAACATCTCTACCATTAGGGCTGGGTGATATGACCTTAAATCAATATCACGATTAATTGAACATTTTACTTTGATTACGACTAATGAACCATAATTCTTTTCCCCTCATATTTCAGGGACAAAGTGTTCACTGTAAATATGCTCAACTGTTAAAGCTGCTATTTTTTTCTAATGAAAGACTGTACATCTTTATGATTTTAAAATAACTGAAGGAAACACACAAATTAACCACTTATGGCCATTTATTGAATATTTTAAACAACTCAATTCAAAGCACAAATCTCTTGAAATGGAAATGTCCTGTGAAAACGGTCAGTTTTAACGTAAAACGCAAATTCCCTAAAAAAGTAGAAAATAAGTAGTTTACATTTCTTGCAAGCAAAATAAATTACAATGGAAACCGTTTATATATAGTGATCACGTCTGTTTGTGTGAAACTGATCACTATAAGCAGATGATTATTATAACCGATTTTTTTCTGTATGTCTCAAGGCAGATTTCCATCTAATTCACATTTTTATATTTATTACATGGGATTTACGTTGTTCAGGTGGCTCAGTGTTTGAGTTCGCCTCCATGGTGCTTCCGTGTCACAGACTGAATAGGGTGGAGTCACGTGACAACACATGCAGTAGTATGTTTTTAAGGAGACAGTCCATGTGAACACACACTGTTTTTAAAGTATTAACAGAATAAAAAAAAACGAAATAACTGACATGGGCAAGATTACGTTGGTTAGAGGTTCTGAATGTCAGTTTTGAATAATTTCCGATTAATTGCCCAGCCCTATCTACCATTCAGTATTTGATCCATCCATTAATCTTCTGACTGCTTATTATGCCCAGGGTCGTGGGGCCAAGTCACTGATGACATCTTGAAATTACTTCCCCTGACCTCCATGAATGTGATATCTCACCCCAACATCTGAACTTTACCTCATGTAGTACACTCTAATTTTTGTATTTCTTTTTCAAACTATTTATGGGTTGCTTAGCAATTTCAGGGGAAATAACTCTTGTGACAAAGGTACATTCCTGATTTTCAGAAGTGATATCTATAGACTTTCTCATGAGAAAAGTTAGTAAGCCCTTTAATTTTCAGACCTGACCACATGCATGCAGAACATTGGCTACTTGTTGGCTGCCTCAGTTGCACAAATATTAAACATTAGGTACTACAGAATACATCATCCCATGAAGTGCCGCTGTAGGACACTGGGATTACGGTGTGTGCTTCACTGGACAACAGCAGGAACATCCCTATTCAGAGCTATAGCCTTGAGTATTTTAAGCCGAGCCCCGAGTATTTCAGCCCTGATGCCAATCTTCCTTCATAAACAAAACAAGTCAAGCCTCAGGTACACGTTTTGATAGCTAGAAACAGCCCTGCAATTGGCACAGGTGTCTTTTCCCACTTTCAAAGTGGGAAAGCTCATTTTAGCATCTTCATATTAAAAATTAGCCAATGCACATGTCCATCACTCTTCAATGGACACTATTTTCCTCTATTTCCAGCAGGATACATATTCCCAGTCCCCTCCAACCTAGTTTCTAATCCAGTCCCCTTCCTAGATGTTGCTTCAGGACACATTAACAGGCCGCAAACTGCTCAATTTCAAGCAAAAATAATTATTTTATTTAAGAAGACAGACAGGATAATAACGATAAGCCAGTATGACATCACAGTCATTAAAGCAGACGTTTATTGAACAGAGTTTGTGCAACTGACATACTGAGGTACACAATGTGGTTTATAGTGGAAGAAAATAAAACAGCGACCCCTTTTTAAAACTTCATAAGGAGAACACATGAATTTTATTGACCAGAGTTCATCTCTGAGACCTCCTAAGAACAGACTTTGGAGGCCGATGTTTTTTCATGTACGGAAAGTGGAATTGTTGCGGATATAAACTGTGGCAGTATCTTCATAACTGACTTGCCGTTGCACAGACACAATAGGAAGAAAATACAAAACGCTGTGTCATACGCCGTTTGTAAAACCCCTATGTTTCCCACAGTCACATATTTGGCAACATCGTTTATGAGAATCTGACTGGCTGACAAATTTCATGACCCAGTACTGAAGTTCAATGAGTATCTCCTTATTTTGGTGACCCCCCCCCCCCCCGCTAACATCTCAGTCCATGCTGGGACCTTTGATTCCCCTGTTTTAGTGGGGGGGTGATGTCTTTCTCGACAACCGACTTGGCAACAGTATGGGAAACCTGTCATTTCCTGCATGGACCATGACATTGTGAAATACTGGGATACACTCCTGATGAGCTCATCACCGTGAACCTCCAATACGTGAACACCCCACCTTTGCAAGGTGTGACATGGGGGGAAAGGATAGGAAATGGACAGACGCGTTAATCGAGAAAACTTTACAGAGAGCGTTTCCAGTCACACACTCGTCTAGCATTTTCTCACCCTCTGCTTCAGTATTCTGAACGTTTCTAGGCGTTATAACAATTATACTATGGTACAAAGGTTTATAAAATAGCAGCACACTCAAGTGACACATTACACCTATGTAATGTTATTTGTATATAAGTATGAAACAAAATTGTAGCTTTTAGCAGCGCAAAAAAAAAAAAAAACATAAATTCAGGTCTTAACACTCTTTTTTGGAAAATAATATCGAACTGTATGAACGACCCCCCCTTAAAAAAAACAACAATACAACTGTACCCAGACTTTTCTGCTCACAGGTAATTGCTAAAACTGACCGTCAGACTACGGTTCCGTGTCATGGATGATTTTCAGGATTGGGGTTAAAGTTACAGTACATGGAATGGCAGGCAGGAAGTGACTTTCTGCAGAGTGCTGGGGACTTGAGCGACACGAGAGACACGAGTTACCTGCCAAACAATGTCATTCTCGCAGAAAAAAACTCACTACAACTACACACTCGTATAAATGTAAAGAATGCATCTCTCCCCACCCGCCCACTATTCTGTCGCCCAATAAAAACAAGAAGCAAAGGACACACCCTCACCCACTCTTCAAATCAAAAGAAGTTCTTATGAGCATGTTGAGGAGATTTCCGGACGACCACGGAGCAGGAGGTTAAGGGGATTTTACAGGAACCCGCATCGAAAGCCTTTCAAGCAGCATGTTTCTCTCCCTAGACACCAGGCCAGGCCGACGCAACGCTGCAGCCGTGAGTGTGCGCCGTGGGGGTGTCAGCGCACGGCCGGAAGGCGGCCCGACTCTACACGTCTGACGGCTGCTGAAGCATAACAGCTTACACTTTTTAATAAAAATAAAATAACAAAAAGAAAAACTTGTGCAAAAACAAACACAGAACAAGCCTTAATGATTTTCCGTTTTTGTACATCACCAGAGTGACTTTACTATGTAGCAAAAACAAATTCAAGTAAAACAAACATTTAATGACTTAATAATAATAAAAAAAAAAAAACAGAAAACAACAAATGTAAAGAAAATTTTGCAAACCTTTTCTTTGTAAAGGCATTGGCATATTTCTAGTAAATTTTTTTTAAATAACATTAATATTAAGCGATCAGACCACCATCTGTCTTATTTGGAATGCTTATCAATGGGACCCCGCCCCCCCCCTCCCCTGCCCACCCCCGTTATGGACATTTACGGTTAACATCAACACCCATATGCTGCTGACTTTGGAAGAACACAGGGATCCAGCCCAATGATACAACAACAATTAAACAGACGGCCATGAATCACCCTACAGCTATTGCTGCATTGCGATAACCTCACTCGTTCCCAGAGGAGTATGTCGCCATCACGGGGCTCGGAAGGAGCCAAACATCTAAGATGGTGTGAGGATCCACAAGACGGTACGACAGCAGCTCGCACTGCATGACCCCCTCCACCCCAAACTGCTCTCTCACGTCTGATCTCGAGACTGACCCGTCTGTAACTCCAGGGTGCCCGTTTCAGGGATGGTAGAGCATGCAATGACCCTGTGCCGTCAAACCCCAACAAGCCCATGGTCCTCTAGCTTCCAGCACCTTTTCATGCGCTAAGCAGCTCGCTTCCGCCTCCCGGAGGCCTGACTGAATAAATGTTCTCCTGCCCAACTCGCCCAATCAGCCCCAAATCAGCTAAGTCCTCCAGCCCTGTCTCCTACCTGCCCTCACAGAGCCACACCTACATCTCATACTCTCTCATACTCACGTGCTAGCACCCCCTTGTGGGCACAGTCATCTCCATCGCTCAGAATCGCCCAGTCGGTCCAAGTTAAAATCACTAAAGTAACCAAATAATAAAACAAAATACAGGCTACTAAATACATGCCAGTATTGTTTGGTAACTTGGCAGTGAAGCAGAGCTGGACCCTATGATAAAACCTCCCTTTCCCTCCTTTTCTGTTAACCCCGACATGGCAGTGAGACCTGCCTAATTGTCCTCACTCCAACTCCCCCCCTTTGTCTCTCTTTCACGAGTGGGACCAGCCCTCTCATTTTTCCAGGCTGTAAGAGACAAACGTCCATCCTGGGGGGCATGTGTGACAAATACGTGCAGGGGAAGTGTGGGTATGGAAACCCCCGGACATGCCCCCCCCCATCTTCCTGTTTGATGTCAGACACACACAGACACACTGAGCACACAGGCTGAAATTAGCACTTTACGGTTCCATAAGGCACCATAAACAACATTAATCTACTCAATAATAATAATAATATTAATAATAATAATAATTTATTTAATAGTAAATGACATTCTGCATTGCTTGCTTGCTGTTTCCTCACTGCGCACTGAATGGTGACCCCCCCCCATCCTACTCTTGGAGTGCTGCTCATTTTCCATTTGCCATAGAGACATTTGTGGAGGTGCACACAGCCCCATCCACTGAGCAGCCGTCCCCGTCCCCTCGCCCCCCTCCAACAGGGAGGCTCAACCCACATACACAACAAAAAAAAGAGAAAAAATAAAACAAGATAAAATACCCCCCACTGCACGTAATACGCAAAGAGTGAGTTTGCCCACTAAATTCAGAAGCTGTTTATCATATATAGTTATCTTTATATATATAATTATCAAATATAACTTATGCATATACAATAGAAATATGTATGAAAAATAGGTCTCCCTTATAAAAATTTGAGGCACCATAGAGATTTTTTGTATAAATTTGTAATCGAAATATGTGTATTTGTATGTAAAATAGCTTTTATTTTGTTATATATATATATATATATATATATATATATATATATATATATATATATATATATATATATGTGTGTGTGTATATATCTGTGTGTATATATGGGAGCAGGTTTTTGTAAAACAAAACAGAAAATGGTTCCGTTGGGGCTGATTTTTTTCTTGTTTTTGTTTTTTTTCTTGCTTTTTTTGTCTCAGTTTTTTCTGTCAGTCTGCCCTGCCAGGCGCCCCCTGCTGGCCTCACTGCAGGTTCACATCCCTGACGTCCGTGGGGGTGCTGGACTGGTCTTGCTCCTCCTGACCCTTCCGGCCGACACGGCTCTCCCGCAGGCTGCTCACCAGCACCCGCTCGATCTGCTCCTGGCACGACTTCAGGCAGTCCTGTAACACAGACCACAGGGCAGTGGTGAAGCCTAGCAATGGATTAGTGGTCGTGGAAGGAGTTTAAGCATCTCGGGATCTTGTTCACAAGTGACGGTGAAAGAGAACAACGTGAAATTGACAGGAGGATTGATTTGGTGGATGCAGTTTTGGGAGCCATGTCCCAGTCCTCACCACGGTCTACATACCAGTCCTCATCCACGGTCTACATCCCAGTCCTCACCCACGGTCTACATCCCAGTCCTCACCCACGGTCTACATACCAGTCCTCACCATGGTCTACATCCCAGTCCTCACCCACGGTCTACATACCAGCCCTCACCCACGTTCTACATCCCGGTCCTCACCCACGGTCTACATACCAGCCCTCACCCACGTTCTACATCCTGGTCCTCACCCACGGTCTACATACCGGTCCTCACCCACGGTCTACATCCCAGTCCTCACCCACGGTCTACATACCGGTCCTCACCCACGTTCTACATCCCGGTCCTCACCCAAGGTCTACATACCGGTCCTCACCCACGGTCTACATCCCGGTCCTCACCCACGGTCTACATACCGGTCCTTACCCACGTTCTACATCCCGGTCCTCACCCACGGTCTACATCCCGGTCCTCACCACGGTCTACATCCCAGTCCTCACCCACGGTCTACATCCCAGTCCTCACCTATGGTCTCTTCCCTTGTCCTGACCTACTGTCCCCCACAGGACGACCCTCAAAACAGCGCCGCTGCTCCCTCAGATTGAGAGGAATCAGCTGAAAGGGCATCTCATGAGGGTGCCAGCTGGTCGGCTCCCTGGTCATGCTTGCCATGTCACCTGCCTTTGTGGATGTCGCATCAGCGGAATGCGTAGTGGCGGATGAAAGCATCACATGACCCCGCATTCCCGTCCGCCACCGGCCCGCTGCCCGTCCGAGACGGGCTGCAGGTGCCAGCCGATCGTAGCTGCCCGGTTACCGCCGGATGCCAGGCTAATGAGTATGCCAGGGCCGCAGCGGGATGCCTGTGCAGCCCCGCTGAACCCCGTCAAAACATGGCCAGTCACCTTGACGACCAGGAAAACACAGGTATTACCAAAACTATGTTAATTATATCCATGTCTTCTGGGACCGTTAAGGGGGTGTTTTTAATGAGAAGGGCCTCTGCCCGAAGGGCCCCCACCTGACTGGACCCCGTCAAGGTTAGGTTACAGCTTCAAAGGGCCACCAGGAGAAACAGAGAACCCCCCTGAGAGCCCCCCCCCCACCCCCTGCTACTTTACACACCCCAGTCTGCACCATTACAGAGGGTCCTGGGAAAGCAGAAACCATCTGGAGAGACCAAGACCCTGTGGGAAAATGCGGAGTCTGGGTGCAAGAGGGAAAATAGGGGGGTGTGACGCAGTGATATCGGAGGGTGATATCCCCCTGCTGGAGACATGCTGAACTGCAGCAGCCAAGCTAAGACACAGACAAATATGCTCCCTCCTCCCTTTTCCCTTCTCTCTCTCTCCCTCTCACACTGCAGATCTAGATTAGAAGGCTGTAAGGTGTCGCCTCCCATGAGCCCCCACCCGAGTTAAAGAGAGGCTTGTGGAGTGGTGAGCATTCTTTTGGAATTCGCAGCTAATTTGAGCCTTTATTATGACTGCTGTGGGCAGATGAGAGCAGTGTGGAGGAAAGCAGACCACACGGGGACTGAGCTGCAGCAGCTCCGCAGACCGCCGGCATGGAGCGCGGCCGGGGACCGAGCCAGCAAAGCTATAGCTATAAGTTTACATGTGGAATAATACTCACCAGCTGCCAGAGGCTTGTGCCCAGCATAACTGAGAGCAAGTGAGAAAAAACACCGTCTGTCCAGAGCACACGGAATCCGCATTAAACGGCCCCCCCCCAGGTTTGAAAACGTGAGAAGTTTGTCGGTAACGTGCCATGAGACGGTCTCTCGAACGCCAGCCTCCGAGCGTGGAGGTCTTGGGCAAAATACGCCCTTGAATCCACGCATTTCCCAAGCAGGATGTGGTCCCCCCCC